TTTGAAAAATAAACTTCCTGTAAACAAGTTCTGTTAAGCCTTTTAAAGTAGTACTTCCTGAAAGAGTAAGACTAAGCAGCAGCAACCTAACCAGCATCCCTGCCCCTGCTAGGAGAAGAGATGGCTGCAACCAGGCGGTGGCAGAGTGCCAAACAGTGCTGCTCCTGCTGGCAGTCTGCCAGGCAGTGCGGGTGACAGACCACTGCTGGGGCTTTGTGGCAGGAAGATGCGCATTTCCCCTGGGCGAGGGTGCTTTCTTTAGGAGAGAACTGTGTAATATGATAGTCCCCTTTTTGCCTTGGCTACCAAGAAACTCAGTTATAAACCTTGTATTTAAAAAGTACAGGAAGTAGGTATTACAATAGCAGCCAATATTTATTTACATATTGAGCCCTTTATATGTGATATTTTACTGATGTGCCAAAATGCATCCATTCATGCTATTTGTACTAAATGCTTACTGTGTGCCAGGCGGCTTTCTAGGGGGTTGGGGACACCTCCGTGATCAAAACAAATCAAAGTCCCTGACGCAGAGGAACTTCCATTCTGGTGGGGACGGGGAGAGAAAAGAAACAATACTAACAAGTAAGCTACACTCCATGTTGGATGGAGGTAAGTGCTGGGGATAAAAACAAGGCAGGAAGCAGGGATGGAGCATGAGGGAGGCTGTTTTAAATAGCACAGTCACTGCAAGGCCTTCCTGCTAAGGTGACAACTGGGAGCCAGCCATGCAGATAAGGTCAGGTACCAAGGCCCTGAGGCGGAATGTGCCAATGTTCCCGGCCTTTTAAAGGAACAGCTGAAGGGGTGGAGGAGAAACATCAGCGAAGCAATGGGAGCGGTGCAGCTGTGTGGAGGCCGCAGGGACAGAGGACAGGCAGTCCCTGCAGGGATCTGAGCGAGGATCTGGGTTGAGTTGACAGAGGATGGGAGGGGAGCAGGCCTCAGGCCAGACCAGTGAGGGGCTCATGCAGTCACACAGGTGAGACCTGGTGGCTTCCATCAGGTGTGGGTGCTGACAAGCAGGGGCAAGGGTCAGATGCTGTGCATATTCTGAAGGCAGAGGGGACAGCACTGGCTGTGGGTGTGAGAAATAAGATCCAAGGATGACTGAGGTGTTAGGTCCGTGGAGCGGGAAGCCAGAGTTGCTTCGAGACTCCAGGAGCGGCAGGGTTGGGAGCTCAGTTCTGTAACAAGTTCTGCTTTGGGTGCCATTGCACAGCCAGGAGGAGCTGTCAAACAGGCAGCAGGACTGCAGCTGAGCAGAGGCCGGGTCTGAGCCCTGGGCCTCCAACCAGAGGCTGCTAGTCCGCGGTGGGGGGAAGGGGGATGGTCCCAGCGTCTCTGAGTGACCTTGGGCTCCAGTAGAAGCCGAGCCCCGCTAGGGCACTTGGGATTATGTACTGCTTTCAAGTCTTCCTTTGAAATAGGTGAATAGACATTAAAAATGGCCTTGAGCCCAGTCAGCATGGCTCAGTGGTTAAGCGTCCGTCGACTTATAAACCAGGAGGTCAGGGTTCGATTCCTGGTCAAGGCACATGCCCTGGTTGTGAGCTCCATGTAGGGCATGCAGGAGGCAACCGATCAATGACTCACTCATCACTGATGTTTCTATCTCTTTCTCCCTCTCCCTTCCTCTCTGAAATCAATAAGAATATATTTAAAAAAAGAAAAAGGCCTTTGAGTAAGTTGTATAACTCCAATTTGTGTTTCCTCATCTATAAAATGGGGTGATATCCCACCTGAGCGCTAATCTCATAGGATTGGTGTGAAAAATCAATAAAGTAATACTACATAAAAGTGGCAATTTTCAATAGAAAGCTATTAAATATCAGCTGAGAATCTTAATAATGTACATAAATCAAGCCGATGAACTAAAGCTTTAATAAAATGCTTTTGAATAAAAAAAATGCCACTTTACAAACCCTTTTAACAAAATATCGTAACAAGAATTTTACTTAAAATCCCATTATTTATATTTTCATGTGGATATAGAATAAATGGTTTTAAAAGTACTCAAGTGTTAAGTGGTGTCTCGTTATCGTGTAGCTATGGCTACTTTAACCAATGACTGCGGTGAAACGGGTGGCCGTGCAGTGTGCTGTGCACTGTTCTTGGGCTTCAAAAGACAGGGAGGCCGTAACCGGTTTGGCTCAGAGGATAGAGCGTCGGCCTGTGGACTGAAGGGTCCCAGGTTCGGTTCCGGTCAAGGGCATGTACCTTGGTTGTGGGCACATCCCCAGTAAGTCTATTTTGTCAGATATAATAATTGCTACCCCTGCCTTTTTTTTTCATTTTCATATGCATATAACATTTTTTTCTATTCCTTCCCTGTCATTCTCTGTGAGTCTTTTGTATTGAGATACATCTCTTGTAGACCCTATATGTGCGTCACGTTTTCTTATTCAGCTATCCTATGTCTTTTTATTGTAGCATTTAATCCATTTACATTTAAAATTATTATTAATCAGTATGTATTTATTGCCATTTTTATTCTTTATGCCTATGTTTCCCTCTTTTCATATTTCTTTTTTTTTAATCTGTTTTATTGAATTTTTTACAGAGAGGAAGGGAGAGAGATAGTTAGAAACACTGATCAGCCGCCTCCTGCACACCCCCCACTGGGGATGAGCCTGCAACCAAGGCACATGCCCCTGACCGGAATCGAACTCGGGACCTCCTAGTCCGCAGGCCGACGCTCCATCCACCAAGCCAAACCGGTCAGGCAAGACAGGAAGCTTTTTAAATTTGATTTACATTTTAATAAACAATGGTCCTAACTGGGGAGAGAAAATACATACATATATATATATATATAGAGAGAGAGAGAGAGAGAGAGAGAGAGCGAGCGAAAGATATTTGTTGGAGCTAGAGAGACAGCAGAGATATATGTAGAACATGCAAAAACCTGAGCTACAGAAAGCCTCTTACCTGATCTACCTACAGGCTGGCCCACTGACACCACAACTTTTGGGTAACCGTGTCCCAGTTACAGTAAGCCTATAAACCCACTAGTCATGAGTTATTTGCAAGCATGCAAGAGGAAGTTCATGGAGGATGTTAGTAAAGCTGGCAAATTACCCGTCTTTCCTTTTGTCTAAAGCGCTTATGTTCTCCAGAAGGTGCCATTTGAGACTGCCCCTGCCCACACGTGTACAAAGACAAACAGGATGGGGATGCTTTCACAGCCATGTCTTCTGGAGGATGTGGGGCTGTCCCTCTCCTTCCTGAGGTCCGAGTGGGCCTCCCATCAGTGACCCCGTCCCTAACCTGCTGCTCTGTGCCTCCGCTCCTCCTCAGGGTTTAATTTGAAAAGTGGGTTCTGGGGTGTTGGGTGCCAGCCTCTTCCTCTCTCTGGGCTTCTGATTCTTCACTTGGGACCTTGCCCTCCGCAGCTGGTCTTGCGTTCAGTTTTGCTCAATAAGCTTGGATGCAGCTCATCCACGTTTGGCATGGAGGCCTGCGTGCCTTGCAAGCAGGCTTTACAAACAAAACGCGCCTAAAAATAAACCCAGTGCTTTCCAATGCATTCTCCTTATCTAAACTAGGACTGCACTCTGTCCAAAGTGCTCCGCATGCAGTTATTCGGACAGAGCGCTTCCACTTTACTGCATCTTTCTCGAACACTTCCCAGCTGAACGCCTACACCTTTAAACGGCAATGTCTTTCTTGGGCTCACCCTCTTCCAGAGGTAAGTCTCAGATATCAGGTGTAGTGAAATTCAACTATCATTTACTGAACATCTCTCTTTTTAAAAAAATATTTTTATTGATTTTTACAGAGAGAGGAAGGGAGAAAGAGAAACATCAATGTGAGAGTGGAACATCAATTAGCAGCCTCCTGCACGGCCCCCTTCCTGGGGATCAAGCCCATCCCCTAGGCATGTGCCCCGATTGGGACTGGAACCAGCAACCTTTCAGTGCACAGGACAACGCCCAACGAAGTGAGCAACACTGGCCAGGGCTGAACATCTCTCTAAAGCACAGGCCCACGGTAAAATTCAGATACCATCAAGAGGTCTTGATTTCTGATTCTAAGCATAGACACCAGTAAGTCAAATTCAACTTAAGAACCTTTAGCTACTTCAAAGTATGAAACAAAATTTCTTTTAAAAATATATTTTTAGCCCTGACCGGTTTGGCTCAGTGGATAGAGCGTCAGGCTCTGGACTGAAAAGTCTCAGGTTTGATTTTGGTTGAGGGCATGTACCTTGGTTGCAGGCTCGATCCCCAGTAGGGGGCATGCAGAAGGCAGCTGACCGATGTTTCTAACTCCCTCTCCCTCTCCCTTCCTCTCTGTAAAAAATCAATAAAATATATTTTTTAAAAAAGATATCTCAGAGAGAAACATCAATGATGAGAGAGAATCATTGATTGGCTGCCTCCTGTACATACCCTACTGGGTGGGGATGGAGCCCGCACCACAACTTGGGCATGTGCCCTTGACTGGAATTAAACCTGGGACCCTTCAGTCCGCAGGCCGATGCTCTATCCACTGAGCCAAACCAACTAGGGCAAAACAAACATTTTAAAAACCATTTTACTAAGAATCTATTGAAACTTTTCTATAAGTATGCAAGTATTTCCAAATAAAAAGTAAAAAATTAAAACATTTTGTTTCCAGATTACTTCCCCTTCAAATATTCAAAACCTTTCTCTTGTGAAATTTAAAAGTTTTAATTTCATTCTATCACGCCATAGCTTCCTGCTAGCCCTCAGATTCTGAGCAAGAACACTTTGATCCAACAATTTGAACAAGGTATTTTAGTTTCCTTTGTAGGTTTGCTTTAACTGTCCCTGGATGGTGACCGCATGCACACTGGGTGCCCAGCTGCCAAGGGAGCAAGGTCAGAGTTCAAAGGTATTGGTACAGAAACCTAATTCTTAGGTTTGGAATTAGGCTGTGCAAACAGGAGATCCATCTGATAGGCTTAATAAACATTCGGTATTGACACTGGGGACAGGGGTGTGGCAGGAGTCCAGGTTGGGGACTGAACTTACTTCAGAACCTGGAGAAGTCCAGGCGTCACTGATGTTGGTCTCACCACTCCAGCTCCATCAATGGCCCCCAGGTGAACCTGAGGGTAATAGACTGTCCGCAGAGCTAATTTCGAAGACTGCAGTCTTGTCTTAATGACTTCGAGTGGACAAGTGAAAATAGCACCAACCGTGCCCCCGCACCTGTAAGAAAAGAAATCACAACAGGATCAGAAAAGCCATACCATTCTCTACACAAGCAAAATGTGAAATTTATATTTTCTTTATTTAAAAAAAGAGCCCGGCCGGTTGAGTCCAGATTGAGTGTCGGCCTATGAACCAGGAGGTCACAATTTGATTCCCGGTCAGGGCACATGCCCAGGTTGCGGGCTCGATCCCCAGTGTAGGGCATGCAGGAGGCAGCCAACCAATGATTCTCTCTTATCATTGATGTTTCTATCTCTCTCTCCCTCTCCCTTCCTCTCTCTGAAATCAATACAAATATTTTTTTAAAAAAGAGACTTATGTTCATTTCATAATTAGAACATACGGGAGGTAAAAAAAATTATAGTTGAAATCACAGCAGCTAATGAGATAACCATTGTTACTATGTCAGCACATCCTTTAGGGCTTTTCCGTACTGGCTCTTCAATCCCCAGTTGTCTAAATGTTGTGAATGTCAATATATACGTACACTTACATCATCTGTAATGGCCGAATACTATTCTTCTATATTGATGTATAATATATTAACCAATTTCCTACTGTTAGACATTAATGTCATTTCCAATTTCACTACCCTGTTACAATGAATATTCTAGAAAATGCATCTTTTCAGCCAAACAAAATAGTTCTTCAGGCAATGCTCCTATTTGAAAATCATTGTCTACTACAATGGACTTTTAATAAAGTCTAATTTGGACTCCATTGAAAGTTAGGCTAAAGCTTACTTTTAATGACCAATCAATTCATCCTGTTTTCCTTAGTCACAGTCTGAGTCAGGGAACTCCTTTACAATATTTCATACCAAAATATTACCTGTATTAAAATTTTAAGTATTTTTCTTCAAGACAACTCACTTATCCTAAAATATCTCCTTCCATCTTTTCTTAAACAATACCCATGAAACTGCGCTCTTAAGGGCTGGTGAGAATTAACAATGTCACGTACCATCGAAAGCCGCTCTGCACCACCAGCCATGCAGGTTCTACCCCTCGGAAAACATGAAAGCTCAGGGCCTGTGTCTATTCATCTTTGTTTCCCTGGCAGCAGGACTCCCAAGTTCACACACAATATTTGCTAAGCAAAGGAATTATTAAACTGAAGTTTCAAGGAGGGTGTCTTTTATGGGATCTACATGTTTGAACACAGGACTTCCTCCTGCCTGCTATCACAGGTGACTGTCCCAGGAGCACCTCGCTAGGGGACAGTAGTGCCTGGCACACTAGAAACGATGCAGCACAAGTATCTCCAAGGGGAAAAGTGGTGACAGGAACAGAAGGTCTGCCCGGCTCACAGAATAGTATGAAGTTAGGAAATCTGGCTGCGAACCCAGCACCTAGCATGGCGCCTGAGTAAGGAACGGGGTAAAGCCCCGTGTAGTATTTTAAAATCAAGAGCCTGCAGTCCCACAGAGCAAGCTGGAAGCTAGCGGTTTAAATGCTAGCATTTCTACCATGGAGTGAATGACTACCTCATGGTAAGCATGCAATCCTCCAACAATCCTTCAAGGTAGGAACTCTTTAGCCTCAATCACCCCAAGGAATCGAAATGTCAGAAAAAAAGAGAGTAAAAGATTGGGGGTGGGGACAGCCATTTTGGGCTATTTAGGTAAGCCTGCTTTAAAGTCATGACGACAACACACCCTAAAAACCGTTTATATACACAGTGTCTTCTGAACTGTGAGCCAAAGCCCATCAACCACAAAGCAAGGCAGGGGGTCGGTCAGAACGAGCGGGAGGCCGGCAGGAAGGGCTCGATGTATGAGCCAGCATTTACCCCTCAGGGACTGGGGGCAAATATGTAGAGGGGAACCTAGGTCTCAGTGAGGTCACAAAGCAGCTCAGTATCTAGTCTGAAACCCAAATCCAGACCCTGTGTCCACAGCCTGGTTCATCCCCCTGGGCTCAGGTTTCCTCTCTGGGAGCACTGTGGGAAGAGGGTAGTGCAGACAGCGTTGCCAGCTCATGTACGCTGTTTCACTCTTCCTCAAAATGGAAAACTGTTAATCAGACAAGTAGGACTTCAAAACTCTAATGTGTCCTTTTGTATCAAGAAAAGTTGTGAGCCCAACTGAACGCTGTTCTGTAATAATTGGCTCTAAAGAAAATAGGATATAATGGGGAGTGTTTAAAAAAATACCTTCCTAACCATGTCTATTTACACAAAATAATTACTCTTATCTATTACCATAAACACGTGCTTAAAAGGTATATTTTAAAACATTAGAACATTTACATGCTACAAAATCAGATAAAGGAATAGCTGAAACCTATTTATGCTCAATAACATGACTCCATGTCACCAAAAACAAACAAAAAAACCCCCAACATAAAACAGCTTCTGAGAAACTCTTTCATCAGAAAGCCAACAAGTTTGAATGTGGCACAGGTCAACCACCTCTGCTTTGCCCGCAGGTCAGCTGCCCTCCTTATCTGGCCAACTGTCATCCAAACCTATGCCACTGATCAAAGGATGACCTTCGGGGCGGTGTGCTTGCCCAACTAGGCAAATGTCCTACTATCAACCAGGCGGTGGACTCTTTGAGGATGGCAAGCCACACTCACTACCAGTCACTGGCATGGGTTGCACACTGTGCCCATGGCTGAGTGGTGGTGGTGACAGGCTCCGCCCGCCCGGTCTTCTAGACCACTAACCAGGGGACAAAGTAAGGCGCTCTAAACAATGTTACTATCAGAAGTAAGTCCCTTCTTACCCACCAGGAAAAAACTCAGATGAAAAAATGTCCAAAGGATATTCTAAATCGTTAAGCTGTGGTATAATAATACTCTTAGAAGAACCTGATATTCAACTGAAATGTCCAAAGAAGTCTTCCTGAAACTTAAACCTTTCATAGCAAAATTCTTTATCTTTCAGCTCAACTTCTTTTTCTTTCTTCATGAGCCAACACATACAAGGCAATCATTTGAACCAAAATGCTGACTTCTCCAGACTGGCTTTCCAAAATTTTCTAAAAATATTTCATCATGTTGGCTACAGAGCACTTAAGAGTACAACAAATTACATTCTTTGTGGAAGAGTTCCTGTCAATTCTCAGTTGTTTGATACAAAGAAGCCCTTCAGCGTCAGCCTTTCTCCTAACCTTGATCGCTAGCTTGGATGAAGCCCCACCCACCGCTGGCAGAATTCACTACGAGGACTCTTCCGGAGGCCCAGTTCACGAAGGGCAGAGGCAGCAGCCTCCCATCGCTGCTTCTCAGCGGTGCTCTACTGAATGCCCCCTTCCTACCTATGAATCACAGGCAGGTTCCATGACTTTCTGGTAACTTTTAGCCCCAACAATGGGAACGCCCATATCGGTTCCACCAGTAGTCCCTCCCCCAATCACCTTTCAGCCTTACTTGGCCTGGCAACCCTTCAAACAGCACTAGGTCCTCTCCTTCCTCTGGTCCTCATGCTCCTTGCTACCAAGCCACTGGGGCCCTAGTATCCGCCCATGCCGGCCACAAGGCGACAAGACTGGCACTAGGGAGGAAGTCACCGGAGTCCTTCTCATCCTGGTGGCCTAGGCTAATGCAGCAGCAGCCTCCCACCTGCAGGAAGCCTCTGCCATGGAGCAAGCGACCTCTCAGCCTCACCAGCTCCCTCAATGCATGGAGCCCAGACCCCTAGGGCAGAGGTGGGGACAGGGAGAGACGGTGACAGGAAAGGCCTCTCAACACCACATGCCACAACGTTGACAGCTATAACCTTCCTGCTCTGCACACACAAGCCGGGTGGAACAGCTGGTGCAGGCGGCAGACTCTGCCCCCTCTCTAGGTCTCGGAGCAGGCTTCTTGGGGTGCAGCCCAGGGCCCGGAAGCCGATGCTCGGCCAACCGGCAAAGTCACATTCAGCATCCACTCACAGTGACACAGTGTGGGCATCAGGAAACAGATTAATCCTGATGAGATACCAATACTTTAGACCTAATATCCAAAGTGGGGGACATCCTTAAGAGGTCCACAGACATACAGGAAGGAAGTAGTACAGAGAGAAATAGTTCCGTTACATTAACCATTATCATCTCTACCTTTAATTTCTATTTTGTGCATGTTTTCTAATATATATATATTATGCATGTTTCATACATACATACATACACAAGAGTAATAAACATACATGGGGATATGCACAAACATGTTAATCATAGGGCTGTGTGATCAAAGTCTAAAGACCACTATGCTAGGCCAGTGGTTCTCAATCGGAACAATGTGCCCCCATCCTGTAACATCTGGCCATGCCTGGAGACATTTTTGGATGTTGACATTGGGGGAAGGGGTATTAGCATCTAGTGGGTGTCAGGAGGCGGCTGAACACTCTACAATGCACAGGACAGCCCTGCCCCACCCCAAGTAAATAAGCATCTGGCTGAGGTTGGAGAGCAATAAAATGGACAAGATATTTGAAGGCAGTGTAAGTAGCGTGGAGGCCACTGCTGCTTGTCTCCCAGCATCAATGCCCTCTTCCTGTCTTAAGAAGATTGATCCCAGATGTCTTAAGCCATACAGTCTGGATGCAACTGAACCATTTCTAGGTTTAGCCCCGACCCAATCAACAACGCTGCCACATGTTCAGCAATGGGCACCCGACTCAGCCCAAGCAGCATAGTTCCCCTGGGAGCAATGACTGGTTTAGAGATGGGTGCATGTCCAGGTTGGTCCAGAGTTAAGCTCCAGCCAGACTTGTTCAATGGTGGGGAAACACTGGGAGTTGCTGTTAGCCATGCTGTGTTCATGTAAGGACCAACCCTGGAGTCAAGAATGTATTTCTAGAAGGCAGAGCAGTCATCGCTGAGGTCCCAGTGATGCTGTCGAGCTATTTAGATAAGTCCTCACCACGCCTAGCTTTCTCTAGAATTCAATAACCAAGCCAGTAGAAACTGAAATTCTTATTATTTACAACTGAAAGCCTCCTAAATGAGCCTAGTCAAAAAGCCTTACACCCAAGCTTTTCAAGGACGAGTTTGACATGCTTGGCTTAAAGGGTTTTACTCTCATCAGCAATCTTCCAAAAGGCAGTTAGGACTGTGTTTCTCCTAGGCTAGGTTTCTAGCAGCCAGGAGGAACTCCCTGGATGTTAATTTAATTCGCCCCTGAGGTAGCGCTCTAGTCACTGGCATCAAAGTCCAGAGGAAATTCTCTGGGATATTCCATTCAGCAAAACCACCCAAAGACTCTGCACAGAGCAGCAGAAAGACCAGGAGAGCCACTGTCGCTCTCTGAAGCCCACCCGCCCAGTCTCCTAAAAACTCTTATCACCTGGATTTTTCTGGGCCTTTTCCCTCTTTTACTACTTGTTTCTTTTTCTATAAAGACATTCCTCCTCCCATTCTCTCAGTCTTCCTGCCCAGAACTGAAGTCTTGTTTTTATTACATAGATAGGTTTAACTGTTTGTCTTTTTACCCACATAGGCCTGTCTTAATCCCCCCCACACACACACACCCCGCCCTACCCTGTGAATTAGGCTCCTCTCCAGTTTATAGCAGAACAAAACAAAGCTAGACTGTTAGTACATATATAGCTTTATGCGATCAGAGACATAAAAATTTTAAATTATGCACACAAATTTTTACTCAACTCTGAATTTCAAGTAACAAGTACCATTTTTAAAAACTTGATATTTTCAATAAGACCTCTAGACCTCTGTTTTCTACACACACACACGGACATTTTTAGGCACTATAGTCAAGACCAATACACTCTTTATTATAATCACCACCAGACTGATAGGAAACTGGGTTTCAGACTCACAGTTTTTCATGACTATGACAAGGACTCTACCCACAAAAGATACTGGCAGGCCCTGTGACTCCAACCTCTGGAGCTTTCTTTGTAGTTTCCCCTTTCATCTGCTATCTCTGCAGTCACTCCTTGAAAAACACTAGTACTTCTTTACATAGAATTTTCTGGCATAAGGCTTAGATGATTTTGATTATGCAAATTCTGTATTCATTCAGTCAAAGCAAAATGCATAGTTTTTGATGCAGCTAATTATCCTTTAGATGCTAGTTCCTGTCTTCTATCTCATGGTTAGAGCATCATCCCTAGGTTGCGGGTTCGATCGCAGGCCAGATCACATACAAGACTCAACCAACAAATGCATAAATAAGTGGAACAACAAATCGATGTTTCTCTCTCTCTCTCCCTCTAAACTCAATCAATTAAAAAAAAATACATGTTACCTATGCCAATATAGTTTCAGCAAATCTTAATATAGAACCATGTTCACAATTCACAAATAAAGTACTTCTCTGAATTTAGGACAATTTAACAAGCCACATCAATCTATACTCCCAGGCATGACCCACAATACTCTTTATTCACTTAATTAGTCATTAAACAAGTGTCCATTAAGCATCTGTAACATGTGGGACACTGTACTTGGGATGTACCAGTGAAGAAAACAGACATGGTTACTATCCTCAGGAAGCTAAATTCTAGCAGCAATCTGTCATCCGAACACCACGCAGCTTTTA